ACGGTGGGCTGATGTACCGGCTGGACGAAGAAGGGATGGGCGGAAAAGATACCATCGTGATAGGCGGCATTTGAGGTTTCGAGAGTGGGCTGCTTCGATGTCAGTCGATGAGCAATTGTGCCGTTTTTCCAAGCAGATTGAGGAAGCTACGCTGGATCAGTTGCCTGCAATTATAGACCAAGTAAGAGACGAGAAGTATGCAGACATACAGTTGGATATTATCCGCAGTTGTCTCCGTCGTGTCTTACGAGATGGTAGTTCAGGTGGCCATTTTGAGCCGAGAGATGCACAAGTTCAAGCCATGCATCGTCTGGTCTTTATTGGTGGTGATACTCTCCTCATTGCTCGTACCGGTTTTGGAAAGAGCATTATTTTCCATACTTTTTCAATTCTGACTGGCAAGATCACACTCCAGATCATCCCATTAAGTAAGCTAGGCGAAGAGCAAGTTGAGAGTATCAAGCGCCTTAATGGGACCCGGCCATGTCTACTTTCATATGAAAGTAAACAGGCTGAGCAGAACCTATTAAGTCAGATCAGGAATGGCCATTTCACACATATCCTGCTTGGGCCTGAGCAGGCGGCATCTCGATCATTCCGTCGTGTGCTGAAGGACCATGAGTTTCGGTTTCAGGTTGGCTTAGTCGCGATAGACGAATGTCATCTTGTCGGTCAATGGGCCGAGTTTAGGCCTCAGTTTACGATGCTTGGAGAGCTTCGTAATCTTCTGCCTGATAGTACTGTCTGGTTTGCCTGTTCCGCTACTTTAAGTGATAAAGCAGAACGTTCAGTATTAGATCGAACTGGGTTTCGGCCTATTGGTAATGGTAGGCATCGGGCTGCGGTCATCCGGACATCTATCGACCGCCCAGATCTCAGCATATCTGTACAGCCAATTGCTAGAGGGCAGATCAACTCATATAATGCCCTACACTTTCTGCTTGATGATTGTCTTGATGCAGATGGCCGTTTTTTACCCGAAAGGATTCCAAAGACAATTGTCTTTATCGATGGTCGCCGAAAAATCGCAAATGCTGTGCATCAGCTTCGTTCCTGGCTATCAGAAAAAACCTCGTGTGATGAGATAGGGTATAATACCACAGCAACAGCTACACCCCGAAGTCATCAAGCTATTCAGATTATCCAAGAGTTTACTGCGCGTGTGGCAGTACATGATCGGAAAGTTCGATATGAGGAGTTTGTGAAACCAGAATCAACAATACGCATCATGGTTGCTACTGCTGTGCTTGGTACAGGGGTAAATATAGCAGATGTGCAACGCGTTGTTATATGGAACTTCCCAATTGATCGTACCCTAGCTGAGGTATGGCAACGTTTGGGTCGTGGTGGTCGTGCACCTGGTATGATTAGCCAAGGCTATATCTTCCTGCCTTACTGGGTGTTTGACAATCAAGGTTGCAGCCCTCTTATACCAGAACAGGATAGTCAAGGCCATATGTCGCGGGCTGGTCGGGGCCGCAAAAGCTATCATCGATCTACCCAGTCGAAATTGACTCGAAGTCGGCTACAGCAAAGTTTTACACCGGGTGACCTTAGTGACGCAGATAGTATCGATTCCGCTATGTCAACACAGCCTACACAGGTAGCTGATACCCCAACCTGGACGCTATCAGATATCAGAAAACGTACAGCTTTGAAAGACTCGGGTATTGAGTGGCTTGAGATGGTTAATGCTGTTTGTCATCGGAGGGCCTTTCTCACGTACCTTGGTGAGAATAAACTTACGCCTAATGCGGATATTACAACAGTACTAGCAGCGAAGTGTTGTACTGCCTGCAATCCCAGTCTTCATGGTGCTTTGTCTATCGCACCACCTGCCGCGAAAGATTTATCGCGGCCAAAGGCAGGTTCCATGGCTTGCTTTGCGCTTGAGATGATTGAAGAGTGGATTCAGTTCCAGGCGAATAAGATATATGCGCATGCTGATCGACGGTTTGATATGCCTAGTTCGGCATTTATGGAAGTTGATATACAGTGGCAACTGGCATATCTATTTCGGGATCAAATCGACCTCCTGCAGTCCTTAAGCTCATTTAGAGCACTTGTGACTGCAGCGCCATTACTCCAAGACTGGTATTATAAAGATCAGTATTGTCAGCAACTGACAGCTTGGATTCAGACGATTGTCCCAGTCGTCTCTCAAAGGTATCTTGAGCACCGCCGGGGCGTGCGATGTAATAAAGGAGCATCTCAAGGTCTAGATGCTATAGTGTCTGGTTCGGATATACCTCTCAATCAGCATGTGTCTGCTGATTTAACAGATACAGAGCAGCAAAGGCCATCAACACCATTGAGTCAATTGATCGGGCAGATGATCATGTCCCCGATTCATATGCCACCTGACTGGAGTCCTCTCAGTATTGGTTCTGAGGCAGTCTCTCCTAGTATTCTCGCAGCAATGCAAACTCTCGAGCGGACCAGGCACCAAGCATCTGAAGTTGCAGCTCTTCTCGCATCCAAGTCTCCGAGATCGCCATCGCGTCCTAGGCCAGTACAACCATATGAGGCGCTATCAGAGGTCTCAACCTCTAAACTGAATGGTGTGCGGCAATCAAGGCGTATCCGGACACCATCACGTAAGATGCGTGATAACTAACATCTCTAAGGTTACACTGGGATTAAATTCGTGTGTTCTGATTTGTTCAGGAGTTCGCAGGAGTTGACATACCCTGTTATTATACCACTATTAGAATAGCAGTTTCTTACTAGCTCTCTCCTCTGTATAGTATTACTATTTAGTATCAGGTGTACCAGGTCTCTATTCTCACCGGTGCTGTCAAGAATGTAGTTTATTATTAGTTGTTGCTATTGCTCTGTCTGGCATCGTGGTTTGGTCTAGGGTGTCGCTGTTGTTCTGTCTGGCATCGCTGATTGGGTGTAGGGTAATGCCGGCGCTATCTAGCATCGCAGTTCGGTGTAGGTTGTATGAGGTCACCATTCTCCTAAGTGCTCTATCTCTTGCGTGCCTCTCGCATGCCTGCTGCGCGTTTTCTACGCTCATCTTGTTTATGCTATGTGATTAAGATACAAATTACCTATTTAGGTAAGGTGTATCTTTTAATCGGACTTCCTGTAATCTGATTGGTTTAGGAGTTTACCAGAGATCACAGGAACAAAATAAAGCAGGTATAATAGCTTAAGATCTAGGAGCATAATAATTAATCTTTACTATTCTAGAAATAATTATGGTTAAAACATTTTTAGTAGCTAGATCTAGAATACTATAATCTTATTGGTTCAGGAGTTTGCAAGAGTTTGCAGGAGTTTGCAGGAGTTTGCAGGAGTTTGTAGGAGTTACATAAGGTGAGGATAATAGGAATATGACAATAGAGATTAGATCTGAACAATAAGCTATAGCTAATATTTTTAAGTTAATATAAGTATGCTTGCCCCCAGTGATTTCATAACATAATATTCGTCACTATGTCGCGTGTGCCTGCTATCGTCGCGCTCGCCCGCCCACCCTGTGTCTGGGCCTCTGAGGCCAACATTCTCTGGCTCGCTGCCTCGGTGCCGCGTGGCGCCCTCCGGTACTAATCTAATAGATTGTATGCTATAGTTAGGTTATGCATATACTAACCTGTTATAGCACCTTACATGGCCGTGTCCGCCGCCGCCGCCTGCTGCCGCCACCACCACCAC